CAGGAGCACCCTGAGTGCCCATCAGCGGATGGATGGGTAAAGAAAATGTGGTATGTGTGCCATGGAATACTACCCAGACATGAAAAATGAAGTCCTGCCATTTGCAACAACACAGATGGACCTCAAGGGTTTTGTGCTAAGTGAAATTAGTCAGATGGAGAAAGAGAAATGCTATATGATTTCATCCATATGTGAAACATAAAAAACTCATACACAAATAAGCAAACAAAAACAAAATAAATGAATAAACAAAAATAAACATGTAGATACAGAGAACAGAGTAATGGTTACCAGAGGGGAAGGGGCAGGGGGGGAGGGTGAAATGGGTACAGGGGATTAACTGTAGGGTGATGAATGGGAACTAAATTTTTGGTGGTAAGCATGCTGTAGGGTGTACAGAGGTAGAAATATAAGATTGTACACATGGAACTTATATAATATTATAAATCAATGTTATGTCAATAAAAATTTTAATAAATAAATTAGGCCTCCCCCCCCGCCCCGACCCAAACACAGATGGAGATATGCAGTAGTGAAGTAAATTGAGCAGGGTCAAAGTCCTGGCAAGACCCAGATGGGATGGGAGCCCAGGTGGGCCGTCTCCAAAGTCTGTGCCCCCAACCAATACAGAATCCTATGTGTTTGTGAATTTAGGTTACCTTAATTTTGACAAATGCAGAGATTGAAACCTGGGAGAAAGAGAACCAAGTATCCAGGTGCCTCCTCTCCTTAATGGTTTTAATTTTAGAAGATACTGGGGATTGAATCCAGGGCCTTGTGCATGCTAGGCACGCGCTCTACGACTGAGCTAGATGCGCCCCCCTCCCTCCACCAGACTCAGTCTTTTCTCATCACCCTCTCCCACCAATCCCAGCCTCAACTCTTGGCCTGATAGGTCACAGAGCCTGACAGGTGCCCTGTGTGAACCCCACTCTTTCCCCCACCCACCACCAGATGCCCCGTCCGAGGAAGGTCCCTGCTGCTCCGGGACAGGAGGGCAGGAAGTCTGGGACCATCGTGGTCATTCTGCTCCTTTGTTACCCTCCCTCTCCCTTCTCCGGGACAGAGAATGCTTTGAGGTGGAGGACAAATACATTGCTTTGGTTTGGAGCTTACTGATGATCGTCCTTGCTCTAAGTCTGTCAGTTCTGGATCTCATCAAACAGTGATCAAACAGCTTATAGGATGAAAAGAACTCTTTCTGTCCCCAGACTTGTCACTTGGGTAAACAGGAAATCTATTTGGCTGCAGGTAAGAGACCCCCAAATGGTGACTTAAATAAGATAGGATTTTATTTTTGTCTCCTGGAAGAGGTGGGGTTAGGCAGCCCAGTGGCTCCCTGAGTGGCATCAGTGCTGTTGGAATCGTCTAGCTTTCTGCTCTGATGTCCTTGGCTGTGGCTTCTGTTCTCAAGATCAGTCCAAGTCCAGTGGCAGCTGGTTCCAAATCCTCCCACCGGTCAGCAGAGGAGCCTGGGATGTGAGATGTGGGATGAAGGCTCACTCTACCGAGGCCACCCTGCTCCGACAGAGCCACCTTGTGCTGGGGGAGACCCGAGTTCCCGCCTCTGACCACTGACGATGCAGATGGCCCCGAGCATGGTGCCTGGCACTGAGGAGGCTCAGAACCTGACTTCGTTCCTGGCTGCCTTCCCGGCTGGCACTCTGGTTCCTCCTTGTTTTGTTCTCCCTGCCTGTCTGCTGACCCTAGCTCCCCTCCTGCTCTCCCTGTCCTGCAGCCTGGAGCCCAGCGCGGTGACCCTGGTGGCTTCCGCTGCCCTCAGAGACTTCGGAGAGTGAATTGGGTGGGGGCCATGGGTGTGGCCTCCGGGGTCAGATCGCCTAGATTTTCACCGTGGCTAATGTCCCAGCTCAGTGTCCCCATGGCTCACTTACTTCATCTTTGAAATGATAATAATAGCACCTCAGACTGGGTTCTGGAAAGGATTAAGTGAGTTAGTGCCTCAGGTGCCTGGGTCAGTTCCTGACATGCAGTAAGCACCCAAGAAAGCATCATCATTTTCAGCCCGGGTGCTTCCTCTGCTCTTCAGACACCACTCCAGCATGTCCTTGCCAGCTGCCACTTGTCCCCTCTCCTCCCGACCCCTTCTCACAGCCCTCCCGCACCCTCCCCCACACCCCAGAGCCCCTGTGACCTCGGTTGGTGCTACCCAGAAGCTTCGCCAGGTGCGTGATCAGGCAGTTCCCTGGCACCACTGAATATCAGACATACCTGGGGCTCTGAGTTTTAGTTTCCAGGGATTTCTGGTCTCTAAGGGTTGGAGATAGCAATGAAGGCGGGGTGAGTGTAGGGGACAGGAGGGAATGGGGTGTCATGACTCTGCAATGCTGCAGAAATCCAGGATTGAGTAAAATACTGCTCACTTGTCCAGACCCAGAACCATCCTCCCTTTTTCCTTTGAGAACAGAGCAAGCTAGAGCAAAGTCAAGGACACAGTGAGTCTGGTGGGAGCCAGGTGGGAGAGGGTCAGGATTAAAGACTTAGAGGTGCAGAGAGGCTGGACCAGGAGACAAGAAGAAGGGTTTAGAAGGAAAGAGGAGGCCACAGAGGTCCTGGGGGCTGGACTGACACCCCATCTTGGGCCTGTTCTCCAGAGTTCCTGAGGACATTGGCTGACTCCGGAGTACCTGCCTGCCTCACCCTGGACCACTGATTCATTCAGGAAGGCTCTTTTTCCATCTCTCAATACTAGAATTGTGGGGAGGGAAAGAGTCGGGAGCTTCTGCTTGGTCTGCCCCGTCAGCATCTCAGATCGGAGCCATAGCTCCTGTGAGGCACCCGCACTGTCGTCTTCCTCCCAGACAGCACGTTGAGGGGAAGGGCATGTGGTGATGGAACGGGATGTGCCGAGGCATCCTCTTAGAGGAATGAGTTAGTGGTACCGCCTGGAATTCCTGATGGAACAGAATGAAAACACAGCAGACACTGTTAAATAGAATATATTTCAACATCCCATCAATTCTTTTAGCATTCAGATTAAATTGAACTCTCCTAAACAGAACAGCGATGGGTGGGATAATACAATGCAGTTGGCTGGACACAAGAATGCTGGTCCTGACCTCCCACCCACAGGCATGAGAGGGGGCATGGTGGGGAAGCTTTTATCCAGAAACATGGTTTTACCCAGAACCTGACCTGGGCTGCATCCATTTCTCAGGCTTCCCTGTGGCGATGGTCTTTGGCAAAAGCCCCTCAGCGTGACGCTGGCGTGTTCCTTGGTCCACATTCATACGGGAGATCCCAGTGGGGCTGAAGGAGGCTTGGGGATCTTTCCTTTTTTTTCTTGCTGAGAAACTAGCTTTAGGAGCGGGGATTGTGGGCGAGATTGCCGGAGACTCCAAGGTGACTCCAGATCTCCACACCTGCAGTCATGTCACCCCCAAACTTCCCTGCTCCACGACACACACAGGAGTAGCGTCCACCTGGGCCCTCCTCCCACAGCTGTGCCCAGACGGCAAGCTTCGGGGCAGAGGAAATGAGACGTGGAAACTGTGGATTCCCAGTGAGCCAGTTGGGAGTCCTCTCCGTTTGCTCCTGGGTAAGAAAGCCTCGAGGAATGTGAGTGACACTGTAGGGCCGATACGGAATCTGCATTCATGTCAGAGGAAAGAAAACGATCGGCAGGCCCAGTGACTTGAGGCCCTGGAACCACCGTTAGCGATGTAGTATTTGCAGCGTCCCCATGATTGGTCCTGGCCACCTGTGTGCAGGGGACAGGCGGGCTAGAGGACCCAGCCATGCTGTCTGAGTGAGAGATATGGTCATTCCGGGCGAAGCTCAAAAGCCACAGGCTCCCCAAGCGCTGGCTCCTTAGGTGGATGGGGAAGGGGGTGTCCCATGAGAATTTCCCCTGATGCAGAGGGAACAAGGTGGGGCTCTGACTCTGCACATGGAACCACCATGAAGGATGAAGATGCCTGGAGGCCTGTTAGAGAGTGAGGGCTTGCTGTGGTGATGGGGAGCCGGGGCAGAAGGCTGAGGAGTGATGGGGGTCAGCTCAAGCCAGCGTATGCAGACACTTCCTTTCCCCTTGTTATCAGACAGGTGGGGACCCTCTGGTCTGTCACCTAAAGGCCTCTGGCAGCTGCAGGAAGGAAGCCCAGGCTTGGGGAGCACGTACCTCACAGGTGCTCTCTGCGTGGTGGGCCCTTGGGAAACCCCTTAACAGTCTCTGCCACAGGCCCCAGGAGGCCCTTGACGAGCCCCAAGAAACTGCACTAAGGCACTTGGGGAAGCAGGGGGAAGGCAGGCCTAGGGAGGGGCTCAGGGAACACGGGAGGTGGGGTGCTCCGCAGTGTCCTGACTATCACACTCCCCTCCCTCCCAGCTCTGCACAGGCAGGGCGTTCCCTTCCCTCTTTGCTGGCTCTCCTTTCCCCTTTGGTTCTGTTTGGATGGCCCAGCCTCCAGCACTCCTTCTGTCCTCTCCCAGGTCTGGGGCAGATGCCCCTCCGTGTTCCCACCCCCACCCTCATTTCCCCAGCAAGTACTCAGCACAGGGTGTTCCACTGCCTGTCGGCCTGGCTGTGCCTCTCACTGCAGAAGGACGGCGAGACCGTGACCTGGTGAGCAGGGGCCGTGTCTGTCCTGCTCTCGTCCCAGGGCCTGGCCCGAGCAGGGCCCTCAGTATATGTCTGCGTGTTGGTGGGAGGGGGCAGAGAGAGCAGAAGCTGGGGTTTTCTAAAGTAAATTCCATCTCTGGAAACCTACAGAGATTTGTTGCACTCAAATGTGGAATTTCATCTTGGTTTTGATCCTCGGTGGAGGTGAAGGAGAGAAAAATCTTACAGCATCCCTCCGTAGCTGCTTCATCTAAGCTGTTCTAGAATCGTGGGGTAGAAGCAGGGGTGGAGGAAAGAAGTCAGGGCAATGTGCACCTGTGTTTGGCGAAGTGTCAAGTTCAGAGGGGAGAGTAGCCATGGAGAAGGACTTAGAAGGTCAAGGGGGGACTGGGCACCATAGTGCACCCCACTGCCTCTGGTGTAAATACTGTACCTCACTGGCCGACACCCAGAGCCATTTCCAGGGGAAAATGTGTCTTCTTGGAAAGTGTTTTCCCCCGGCCACCCTTCACTGCTCACTCTTTGGAATGTTTGATACTTGTGACTCATCTGGTCTTTTGAAATGCAGGTCAGTATCTCGCCCACAGGGAGAGCTGGGGCAGGCAAAGCCAATGGTCAGAACTTCCCTCCCCTCCTTGAAGGACCTCCATTGGTCAGTTTGGGTTACAGAAGGAAGCAAATCCAGTTCAGGCACTCAGATATGTAAACAGGAGGTCCTTGGGGCATAGCCCACCCCAAGGAATTTCCCAACATGCACAGCGCTTGGCAGAGAGAGTTGGATGAGTGACACCGGGATGCACGGGTAAGGATGCCAGGATGAGAGCTGTGAAAGGCGATGGCTGCGGTCAGGATCTAAGAGAAGCATCGGTGATAACAGAGACTGAATGAGCTCATCCAGCAGTGCCCCCAGCCGCGCAGCGGACGCAGCCTTGACCTCGCTCTTTCCCATGGAGTGAAGAAGAGGGTTTGTCTGCATCAGTTTTATGACAAACCTCACCACCTCAGGAGCCAGGGATGTTCGACGTTGGTCATCAGGTCTCCTCCTGGTCAAGGTGGCAGGTTGATGGGGAGGACAGAGGGTGAGGCTGCCATCAGCGGTTCAGGAAGAAGGACTTGAGGTTCTGGAAGAAAACTGACTTCTGTCTCTGCTTCTGTTTCTTTTTGATGATGGGCACCCACACCAGCCCGCACACCATCATCATGAGGCCCAGAGACAGGAAGGCAGGCCCGATCATCTTCAGGACGTTAAGGCTCTTTTCACCCAGTTTCAGGGTGTAGGCCAGGCAGGTGATGACCACACCGAAGAGGAGGATGGCACCACCCACGGACATGATGACGATGGGCTTGCGGTAGATTTCCCAGTTACTCCGGGGGCCAGTGGTCCAGACAGACTCACTCCTGGAGCTGATGCACAGGGAGCTGGCAGTCTGGCTGGGCAGCAGGTCCTTGGATTCTGGAGACTTCTCATCGACCTCCAGGGCCTTGGGGAGCACCTCCATCGTCACGGCTCCTTGGGACTGGGCACCTGGTACCAGCAACAGAAGCAAGGGCGAAGCCAGAGGAATCCTCACACGCCCTTCCTGTTCTCAGCATCCATCCGGCCTGGCTCTCAGTGGCAGGCAATACAGGGTTTTTGTGCTGAAGCCAAAAGGAAAATCAGATGAGATCCACACAATTAAGAAACCACTCAAGCTGGTATTTTTTTTCCTTGTGAGAGAGAATATTATATCATTCTAATTAACTGCTTTTAAGATTTAAAACAAAGAACAGTCATGCCCTTAAAAAAAAAATAAAAGCTACAGTTCATTAAATGGCATCAGATTTTCTGACTCAACCACTTTCCAGCTGTGTGATCTTGAATGAGTTACTTGATGTCTCTGTGCTGCAGTTTTATTATCTATAAAATGGGGATAATAATACTCCTTATCTTATAGGAGTTTCAAAAGGGTTAAATGAGTTAAGACATATAAAATGCTGGAACCATGTCTAGCATACTGCAAGCTCCCCTTAAGTGGTATTCTTTGCCTGTTAGAGTGGTGATACGTTGTCCACAAGCATGCCTGTATGCATATGTGTGTGTGAGTGAGTGTGCCAGGCTCTGCACTTAACACTTCATCCATCATATTGAACCTCACAGTAGTGCACTAGTCCCATCTCACAGATGAGAAGGCTGAGGCTCTGTGAAGTGAAGCACCGTATCACGGCAGCTCGGGCCTGGACCACTGGACCAGCGCTCGCACCCTCCCTATGCCGCTTTCCAGAACCAGCAGTTACAGACCCCTCCCCTGTTTCCCAGGGAGGAAATAGGAATTGTAAAATCACCACACCTTCAGGCTGTGGATATTTCCATTCACCTACACTCATCCAGACAGAGGACATTTGGATTCCTGTTTCCAAAGACCTTTGGAAAATATGAGGACACGCTTTTGTAAATACAGGCTCACAGATGCTCCCTGCTTGCCTGTGGATCCTGTGGTTCATTTGCATAAGTCGTCATTTTTAAAGTGATGTTTCCTTTTCCCTGGCCGGCTGCGGGTAGGGAAGGCATCCTAACATGTGCTGTGAAATCCTAGCCGGGCAGCTTGTATTGGTTATTGCAACCTGGTTTCTCGTGTGTGGGGTTTGACATCTTCAGCAGGGTGGTCTCTCTGGGTGGCCGTTGCCACCACTTGGCAGCGAGGCCAAGAGAAGAAGTGCCTGCTGCCTTCAGATGTTGGAGATGTTGTGATGGAGAAGTAGGAAGGCACATTCTCAGCTGCGCCCCAGGAGAACTGGGCGTGTGGGGAAGGACCAGCTCCTGGGAGAGCTGCCATCTAGGTGTGGGGCGGCCACGACGGAGGCAGGAGTGATGGCTTCCTGAACTGCGGGAGAGAAATGGGACCAACTGCGCCTTGCTGGACGCACCTAACACAAGCTCTTTGGCCCCACAAGGAGGTCACTCGTTCATTCCTCTTTACAAGGGTAGAGACTGAGACCCAGTGAGGTTAACGATTGTGGCCAAAGCCGCCCCCAATTTCATAGGTGGCTGTGTTGGGATCCAGGCTGAGGTCTTTGGACTCAAAGCTCATTGCACTGGCCCACGCTTGTCAGGATGACCTGAAGGTCCTTCAACCCTGAGAATGCCTGAGTTTTCCACTTTGGGGCTTCATCCTACAGCACAGTAACCTCTCACTGAGTCTGGAATGGCGTAGATAAGGAGTTATATAGTGATTTGGTCTACAATACGGAAATAAGAACACTTCAGCTTTTCATAACATTACTTTTTTTTTTTAAAGAACTGTTTTTACTCCAAGATTATATCCTTCCTTCTTTTTGGGGGGCATTGGAATATTCATTTCATGAAATGATCGTGAGGGAAGACGATCATTGGTTTTGTTTGTAACTGTACGTGTGAAGATAAAGAGTTGGCGATCCTATGTAGACGCCTGTCTACTTATTCTCCCCCCCTTTCTCTTTCTCTCTATTTATCTATCTTTATATCTAACTCTCTGTCTATCATCTGTCAATCTATGTAAATTGTAATAGCTCACAAAATCCCAAAGAGTGGGAGCCTTCCATTTAGCTGACTTACTTAGGAAGCGGTGAGCCCTTGGGCTGGTGCGTGGTTGGGGCGGGGGTTCATTTTCTAGGCAGTAACCGAAGGAGAAGCACCTCTCCTCCCTTGAACAAGGCTGAACACTGTGCTTCCCCCGCCCCCGCCCTGCCCGGCAGGAGGCAGGAGCACTATGGGCACCATGACCGAAGCTTCGCAGCTCCAGTGAGTCACTGAGCTTGCTTGCAGCGTCTGGTGTGACGGAAAGATCCAGGTGAACCCAGTTTGCCTCCCGTAAGCTGTGGGCCCTTGGCAGGTTGTTCAAGCCCTGAGACCTCCTAGTCACACATATGAAATGAGGGTGACAGCACGCCTGCCTCCCAGGGCTGTGGCGACTATTGAATTTCGCAAGACCCTCCCTTGTTGTGTGACACGTTGTGGGCGTTTAAGAAATGGCCCCGGATGCTGTTATACTTATTTTCTTTCTGGATCCCTGTTTTCTCATCTGTAACATGAGGGAGTTGGGCTGAGGGGCTTCTAAAACTATTTTAGGTAAATCCATAGGTGGTGAATCAAACTTTAATTCTGAGAATCCAGGTTTCCTGAAAATCACCAGTTCAGGGCTGTACGAGTTTTATCACATTTTATTAAAGTCCTAAAAGATCCTGTTTTCTTCTTCTGATACCAGGGTTTCTCAACAGCATCACTGTGGACATTCTGGGCCCAGTAATTCTCCGTTACAGGGAGCCGTCCTGAGCACTGCCAGGCACTTAGTGATATCCCTGCCCTGCCCACGGCGTGCCAGCCGCAAACCCCCTCCAGTCACGATAATCAGAGATGTCTCCAGACCTTGCCTAGTGTCTCCTGGGGGCAGGCTCGACCCGGTGGAGGACCTCTGCCCTCTGCGGCTCTCCCCCTTCCTGGCCCAGGCTGGGTTTGCTCACCCTCCACCCGCACACCCCCAGCACTCAGCAGGTGCTCAAAGGACTTGGCCCTGATGCTGCAGTTCTGAGAGGGACCGGGTGACGCCTGGGGAGCTGCCCTGGAGAGGAGCACACACCTCCAGGCCCTCAGTTCCCGGGGGTTTGGTTTGGACGCCTCAGAGGATCCCACTCCTTGCGGGCCCCTGAATCGTCCACTCAGAACCTCAGAATGTGACTTTCTTTGGCATAAGGGTTTCTGCAGATGTAATTAAGGTGAGGCTCTCCAGCCGAGCCCATCCTCAGATAGACGAGTCCAGGGACAAGTGTCCTTGTAAGAGAAAGAAGGAAGTTTGGCACACAGAGGGGAAGGCCATGGGAAGACGGAGGCAGATGTGGGGGTGACGCCTCTACAAGGCAAGGAAGCAAGGAGAGAGGGAGGCCCCGAACGGCTTCTCCTCAGAGCCCTGACTCCGGGAGGAGCCGACTCTGACGAACTCCTGATTTGTTTAACTTGTGAAAGGACAAACTGCTACTGTTTTACGTGACTAAATTTGTGGCAGCAGCCCTAAAAGGTGAACACATTCACCTTCCTTTATTGCCCTCAACATGCAGAGGTGGACGAGGGCTGAGGCCCCGGGCGGTTGGGCCCGAGGAGACAGCGGACGGCCTGCGGCGCCCGGCTCCCGGGCTGACCACGGATTTGAGTGTTGGCGCAGCCCCAGGGCAGCCACGTGAGAGGGGAGACGGGGTCCTTCTCCCCCGGAGGCCACGTTTGGAGTGTCAGGAGGCAGACGCAGCCGGGGGAGACGTGTCTGCAGCACAGACCCGGGACGGGCAGGCCGCAGGCTGGTACCGTGAGGGAGCCCCGGCCTGGGGCCTCGCAGCAACGAGGAGGAGAGGACCCCAAACCCACACTGACCAAGAAACCAGATACATCTTCCACGTCCGTAAGATTCAAGAACATGCAAGACAACCTAAGCTATTAGGGGTTCGGACAGTGGACGCCTTCAGCGGGGGTAGTGGCTGGAAGGGGGGCATGGTGGAGACTTTTGGGGTGCTGTCATGTTCTGACTCTCCGTCTGGCTCCAGCCGGCTCGTGGGTGTGTACTATTCGAGCTGTAAAACCATGATACGACCACTTTTCTGTGTCTACGTGAAAGAGCAAAAAAAGTCTAAATAAAGCTAATTTAAAAATATAACTAAACGCAGTGTGTCCCTGTTTAGGATTCTGACTAGGAGAAACCAATTGTAGAAAGGCATTTTGGGATACTTTCAGGGAAGTCTGAATTTGGATTGAAAGTTAGATGACACTAAGGATTTAAAATTTGTGTTTGGTATGATTATAACATTGTGGACACAGAAGAAAATGTCTTTATAGACAGAGATACATCTTGAAACAACGTTTAGGGGTGAAATGTCCTGATGCCATGATTCACACGGAAACATCAAACTCCAGATCAAATACGGCAAAATGTTAAAAATCATCAAATCCAGGTGGTGGATGTGTGGAAGTTCATTATATTATGGTCTCTACTTTTGCATACGTTTGCAAATGTTTGTAATAAATGAGAAACTGAAAACACAAACAGACAATGGCCAGACACGTATAAAAACAGAACTCCGACCCTCGACTGGCAGCAGCCAGCCCAGGAAGCCAGCCTGCTCTGCTGTCTGTAAGTCAGACTTTTCGGAAGTCAGACCGCTGCCCCAAGCAACCAGTCCAGCAAGACAAACAGTAAAAGGACAGCTGATTTTTGACAGACACACCAAAACAATCCCACTGGGAAAGGAGAGAGAGTCCTTTCACTCAGTGGTGCTGGAACAACTGAGTATTCGTATGGAAAAAATTAAAACTCATCCCCATTACAAAGGAAGACAAATAAATTAACAAGGAGCCCATGAAAAGGGGCTTGAGATCAGTATTTAATAGGAAATGCAAATTAAAACCACAACAGAAAATTAATTCAAGGTGGATCATGGACATAACCTGAACATAAAAGCTAAAATCTTAAAGCTTTTAGGAGAAAACATGGGAGAATATTTCTGTGATTTGGAGGTTGGCAAAATTTCTTAGACAAGACAGGAAAGGCAATAACCAAGGAAGAAAATAAAATCAATAAATTAGATTTCATCATAAATTAAACTGCCTGATCATTGAAAGCTACTGGGAAGAAAATGAATAGGCAACCTATGGACTGGGAGAAAATTTTTAACAAAATACATATTTATCAAAAGATTTGCATCTGAAATATATGGAGAACTATTACATGTGATTAATAACAATACAAATAGCACAATTTTAAAAAATAGCAAAAAGATTTAGACAGACTTGTTACAAAGGAAGACAAGTAAATGAGCAAGAAACCCATGAAAATGGGCTTATTCAATAGGAAATGCAAATTAAAACCACATGGAGATACAGCCACACACTGACTAGAACAGCTGAAATTTAAACATCTCACAAATGTTGGTGAGAAGGGGGAAACACCGGGGCTCTCGTGCACTGATGTGCACTGATGTGAAATGGAACTGCCGCTTTGGAAGAAGGTTGGGTAGTTTCTTGTGAAATTAAGCACACACCTACCCTTTGAAGGTAGTTCTGCTCCTAGACATTTATTTGTCCAAGAGAAGCGACAACCTCCATCCACAAAACACTTGTTTAAGAATATTCGTAGCAGCTTTGTTCATAGCAGCCCAAGCCAGAAAACAGCCCAAATGTCCCCGACCAGAAGGAAAGACAAACAAATTCCGTACATTCACACAATGAGATACCACTAAGCAATAGAAGGGAGCAAATTTCTGACACATACACAGCATGGATGTCTCACAGATGTGGTGGGTGAAAAGAAGTCAGATGTGAGTACCTATAGTGTATGGTTCCATGTATTGGGACATTCTAGAACCTTCTGAGAACTAATCTGAGGTGCAAATCTCAAAACAGTGGTTGTTGGGTGGGAAGGAACTAACTGGGATTTTCTGGGGCAGATGGACATGTTCTGTCTCTTGGTATCAGTGTGGATTACATGGGAGATGGATTTGTCAATGTGGTAAACTAAGATTTGTTTATTGCGATGTGCGTGAATTATATCCTGCAAAAAAAGAACTATAAAAATCTTAATCATCATCATCATCATCATCATCATCATCAAGAAGGTCAGGCTGAGGAGCAGGTGGAAGTAGAGTGAAACTGAGAATAACAGAGCTTTGATAACGGTTAAGCCGTGTGGTGGAACATGGGGGTCCAGGGTGGGGCTGTAAGCAGAAAATGCTTTACCCCAGAAAAGGAAAGTAGCGGTGTGGGCAGAGGTACAGTGACCCCAGGGCAGGGCAGAGGTGTTAAAGGGAAATCTGTGAGATAAGTCCCCTGGCTCACTAAGTCGCCTGGAAACACTGAGTACTGATTTTGAGTAAGAAGAGATCCTGAAAGAAAGAGGAGGTGCTTCTTGGAGAAACTGGGATTTAGGGACAGGAGATGGAGGTGGAGATGGACGTGGAGATGGAGATGGAGGTGGAGATGAGAGATGGAGTGAGGGATGGTGGGAGAGAGAGTGGAAAGAGAGGACAAGACTTTCGTCTTGTCTCTGGAAAGATACCCTCCCTTGAAGGAAAACAGACTTTCTGGGAGCCAGGAGGCCCTGGACAGAGCAAAGACTGGGTTTGCTTGGCCAAACAACTCTATCCAGAAGAGACTGTCTCTTAATCATGTTGGAGCTGGCCTCCGTATCTGTCATGTATTAGTAATTGGTACTGGAGACCCTGCCTGCAGATCTTTTCAGTGTTTGGCTGTGGCTTTGTGCTCCCCAGATTGCTAAACAGAGCTCAGCTGCCAGCGCTCACCAACACCACGGCGAAGTCTCCGAGTGGCTCCTACGTGCAGCCTCTGCCAGACGCGGAGTTACAGATGTGACTAAGACCACAACCCTCTCCAAGGAGGAGCTCCAGGTGCCTGCATTTCCCCACTCATGGCATCTCTGACAAATGAGGTAAACCGGTGTCTCGAATGAGAGGGAGAGGATGTGCAGGCGGCCAGGAGCATTTTGGCTTTTTCTCACGCACTCACAGATTCACCCCACAACAACGGCTGGGTGGGGGGTGTGGATCGTGCAAGCTGGCAAGCAGCGAGTGTCCTTGACAATAAGGACCAGACTTTTCCCGCCAGTAGATTTTTGAATGTCTGAAATGCACCACTTAAGGGGATGGTGGTTGAAAGCGAAATAAGTGAGCCATCGCCCTGGAGGTGACCAGATGCACATCTGTCTTAATAGAGCTGGAAGCTCTTCGTTCCCTCCAAGTCCTCGCAGGGCTGGGCCTGGGGCTTCTTCCCATGCTCTCCAGCAGGTAGCTCAGCCCCTTGCTGGGGCTCAGGAGCCGCCAAACATGTTAAGTGATTCAATAAACGGGAGCTGGGGCAGGAAGGCTCAGTGTTGTAATGTCGTCACCGCCGTTCCTTCCCATCCAACTGTCAACCGGGCCCGTTGCTCTTAGAGCGAGGGCGGTGGGATGGGAGTAGCTACCCAGGGGCATGGGAGGCAGCTGTGAGGGGCCGGGGGATCCTCTGACCCTCTCCCCTTCCCCTCCACTCCTTGGTCTCTGATGGACGGACACCTCACCCAGACTAGTTGCCTCCTGCTGGCTGGCATTTCCGAAGTCTCCAGGGTACTCAAAGCGGAAGAGGCAGAGAGTGCATTTGGGGAGGGGTGACATTTTCTGTACAATAATAATAACTGCATTTCTCGGACTCTTGTTATGGGCTGGGAACCGTGCTGAGCGCTTTACCTGCGTTGCCTTGTTTAATCCTCCCGACAAGTTGCTGAGGAGGGGACGATTATTACCCCATTTCGCAAATGAGGAAACTGAGGATCAGAGGACTTAAGTGACTTGCCCAGAGTTATTCAGCAGGCGAGTAGAGAACCAAGGTAGCAAGGGGGAGTTTTGGGGCCTGTCTGGCTCCAGAGCCTGAGGTTGAGTCAGTCCTGCTCCCCCTTGGGATGGTTTTGAGGTTTTGAGTTTTTTTAAACTGAAGGCACAGTAAGCAGAGAGAGCATTTGAAGTGGGGACACTGGCTGCTTTGAGTGAGGGGGGAGGCCTAGTACTGCTGGGCGGGGCTGCTGAGGACATGGGGGCTGAAGCTGGGGGCCCTGAGCAGCCAGCAGAGCAGCAAGAGGCCTGTGACAGGGTGGCCACAGAGCCACTGCCACTGTTATCCAAATGGAGCACAAGTGCCAGGTACCTGCCACCTTCTTCATCTGGAGCATCTCTTAATCCTGGGTGGGACCCTCTTTATCATCCCCATTTTACAGGTGAGGAACCCGAGGCTCAGAGCAGCCTGACCCGAATCCTGGTCTTTATACTGCATTGTGCTTGCTCAAGGATGGAGCCTGCCTTTTGCCCTCCACTTAACACCATCAATATTAATAGACCACCAGATTTAGCCGATAAAATGACAAGATGCTCGGTTAAATTTGCTTCAGACAAACAACAAATGCTTTTGTCTTACAAGAATGTTACAAATATTGCCCATCCTTATACTAAAAATGTCTTTGTTGTTTATGAGAAATTCCAATCTAACTAGCATCCTTATAATCCATCTGGCAACCCTGATACTATGAGAGGCCTCCTGTGCTGGGGCCTGGAGTTATCTGTCCCTTCTCAGGCTTCCCCCCTGATAGGAGCTGGACTATTCTGGGAACTGCAAGCAGTGAAACCCGCTGTCCCACGGCTGGGGGGTGCACCCGGGTGAAGGGTCGTCTGGTGGGAGAAGAGGAAAGGGCAGGTGCAAAATGCAAATGATGGAAATAGGATTGATGACTCCTGCGAAAGACCCCAGCGTGGGTTTGTATGTGGAACTCCTGAGACGTGGAGGGTCTTGCTCTCACCCCACTGGAGTCCCCACAGCGCCCCACTCAGTGTCACTGCTCGTCGTGACCCTCCCCCCAACAAGACACTCCGTTGGTGACCCCGTCCCTCTGATAAGCTGAGTGCCTGGTGCCTGAGCTGATAAAGCAGAGGCCAGAGCGTTTCTGAATCTGCTGCCGCTGTCACTGGGGCACGGCCACCGTCTGTCACCTGCTCACAGTGCTTCTAGGAAAGGAAGTTCTCCAAAGGTCATACTCCACCGAGACAGTGCCCCTCACCTCCCCCTTCACGCCGCGCAGCTGGCGCCCAGGCCCTGCCCAGTCACAGGGTGGAAACACAGCTCAGGTGATAATGTCTGCTTTTACTGGATGTGGGGTCCCCGTGGCACACGTGTGCCCTCCGTGTTTTGTCCAGGTTCACACGCGCCTGCCTTGTTCCCCCTTTCCGAGGTGGAGCCTGCCGCAGCCCGCCTGCTGCGACTTGTTTTCCTGGCACCTGCCCCAGGCGCCTGCCACACCTGCTGCTGGGAGGGATGGCTCTGCAGACGCTGAGGTCTGGTCTGGGATGCTCGGGAGGACAGTCTGGGACTGAGGTCCCGCCCACGGACTCCGGCATCTGAGGGTGGCCTTGCACTTCATTCCTGCCTCTGTCGACGTTTGGGAGGGTGGTCCCCGCCCAGCCCCTTCCATCAGTGGCTGGGCAGGATGAAGCCTCGATGCTCTACAGCAGGGCCGAGGCAGCCGCCTGCACACAGCTTCCCTCGTGCAGGTGCAGAGCCGGGGCAGCCCCCTCCTCCCCGCCGCCGCTCTCTGCCACGACTCTCACTGGGCTGCACCCTCTGGCCTGCTGGCAGCTGGCTCACCCCTTCCCCTCCCCAGGCACAGCCCCCTCCCCTTTGCCGGCGGCCGTGCACATTCGTCTCCCAACTCGAGTTCAAAGACTCAACACACTCTAAAGCGAAGTTAAAACCAGCTCGTTCCTGCAAGAAAATGGGAGGAAGGGCCAAGGGATGATTCCCTCCTTACTTACTGTCCTCGACGTCCCCAGGGAAGTTGGGGGACCTGGGAATCGCACACAGCTTGCAGCGGGAGGAAGCCGGCAATGAGTTTCCTTTCAAGTTCCTCATCCCGGCTGGAGGAGGCCTCCCTGGCCCCATCCAGGAGCCCGTGTGCAGCGAGTCCCAGCCACTGAGCAGGCTCCGGAGGGATGAGCTCACCAGGATGTGGGCTAATGGGTTAACCCTTTGCCGGCCACTGGCACAGGCGGCTTCATCTCATGTCATGTGGCTTTTGCTCAGCTCCGCTCAGCCTCTATTAGATGAATCTTGTGAAAAATTAATAAAGCTTCTCTGCGGTCTGTCTTCAAGTTTTGGTGAGATGTGCATGAAGCTGGTGTCGGGCGGGGCTGCTTTTCCTGATCCAGCCTCAGAAATCGGGAGACCTGGAGGTCCTGGGTTGGTGGAGTGTGTGTTCGTGATGGTGGTGGTGATGGGTTGCCAAAAAATGGATTACTCAGAGACCGTGCTGGCTGTGTTCAGTGCAGGCCTTGGCGAGGAGGTCTGGGAGCCCCATCTGCTCTGGACGTTGGAGAGGGCGGGCGTAGACTTATTTAACATCCTGGGCTCCAACATGGCAGGAGTACCTCTGGGAACTCCAATGCCTCCGGGTGGGCACCCTATGCGACTGCATGCCAGGAACCCACAGCCGAAGGTCAGCTGAGCACATCGGGTCCTCCCAGGCCAGGCCCAGACATCTCTGAACTGGGGGCAAAGCAGCACGTCCACCCTTGCTTCTCCCGCCTCCTGACTATGTCCCTGTGCCTTTTCACATCACTTATGGGGATAAGAAGAGAATGTGGAACGTCCCTGCAGTGGTGGGGCAGGGTTTCCACCTCTGTGAACAGTGACGGCATTGTGCTTGTGGACTCGGTGTCAGGTGGTGAGTTGCCCATTCTCAGGATGCTGGGGGTGTGTGTACCCTGAAGCCAACAAGACAGCCTAAGATCCTGAAAGCCAGGCGGATCCTGCCCTCCTCACACCTTCTCACTGGCTGTGGCCCTGGGGTGAGGAAGGGTCCTTGCCATGGTAACAGTACATGAGGGGCTTCCTCTGTGGCCCACCGGGGAGGCTCCCCCAGGAGTGATCCCAGGCAACAGAAGGCCAAGGCAGGAGAGGGGCTCGTCCAACTCTGGCATCTTGTGAGATGAACATGAGGTTTCCCGGCTGGGAAGCCTCTGCAGAAGTTGACGTGTGATAAAAGGTAGAGGAGCAGAGAGCCAGGGGCCAGCCCGTCCTCGGAGCTGCCGAGAGCAGGTGGAGCCGAGGGGCTCTTCCTCTGCCCGCTGCTCAGAGGTCAGTGTCCGAGGGAACTTGACTGGAGGCTTCTGAGGATGTTCCTTGCTCTGGTGTAGACGCCTCTGCCTTCATATCAAGTCGGTTTGTTAGACCAAATGGCCTGGCCTGGGAAGAAGCCCTGGGGAGAGTTATTTTGCGTTGCGAATAATCAGATCAGCATTCAGACTCCTGTGCTTTCTCTGCAGGGCGCGGCAGGTGGTGTAGTTACAGCCATCAGTAAGACAAATCCGTATTTAGCGTTTCCTCCAAGTCAGGCCCGAGTGTAAGTACTTTATAATAGTTTCATTCGTTCCCTGACGTAACCCTACCAGGCAGGGATGTGAGGTGCATTGCCACCCTCACATCTGGCTTTGCACAAATTACTTAACTTCTCTGAGCCTTAGTTTCTTCATTTGTTAAGGGGATGTGATAACTGCTACCTTAGAGAGTTTTTGTGAGGCGAGAATAAAAAAATGCACATAGCAAGTGCTTAGTGAGTATGCGCACATATTCATATAATGTATTCGTATATTGTACAAGAATATAATTCACATGTTACAGAATCATAATGCATAATAATTATATAATTAATAGATTACATTGAATAGAATGTATATATAATATATGGTGTATGTATGTATATAATATCCGTGTATATACGTACACATATGTGTATATATGAACATATATAAACATATATACAAATTGGGGGGTGGGGGTGATCTGGGTCCAGGAGGAAGTGTCCAGGGCAGAAGCTGTGCTCTCTGCAGGCTCCTCCCCAGCAGGACAGAGGAGGAGGCATGAGAAGTCCGCTTGGTCCCTGGACAGTAGGCTCCAAATGTCCCAGGAGGCGGGGCTGCTGCTGCAGCTGTATTGAGGGGGCAGAAGGCAGGCCTGGGCCAGGCTGGGGGCTGGCTCCCGGCCCGCCCCTTCAGATCGCCCTAATTCCCCGTCCTGTGGCTCGCAGCTGCGCTGGCTCAGCTCTGCGCCCCTTACCCGGCTGGTCCACGCACCGGCGGTGTATGGGGTGACCAAGCTCATTCTTTTTCATTTGTCACCCTTCTACATTTTTTAAGTATTTTAGAGCAAATCCTGTCTCTTTATGGAATCCTTGCGAGTGGAGATGTGTATCTCTGTAACAGATAAGGAATTCCTTCTTCTCTTCCTCTTTTTTAAGAGAATAACCACAGTGGCATCATAATCTTACCTGAAATGTAAATGGTCCTGAACGTTAACACCCACTCCACACTCACAGATCCCTGATCCCTCGGAAACATCGCTGGACAGTCAGGTCTCCACAAAGCAGGGTCCTAACAGGTGCCAGCCCTACTCTTTCTTAGTCACTAAGTGTCCCAAGCTTCATCTCCCGTGTAGTGGCCACTCGCGCTGACTCTGCTCACATGGTTCAGTTACTGAAGACGGCAGGTCGTCTGACCTGGAGAACCCACGTTCTGCACCTGGCTGGCTGCTTCCTGTTAGAGAAATGGGAATTGGGACCTAGACTCAAGTGCAGATCGTAAATGGTGACATTTAACATTTTCCTCTTTTCTGTGAGGGCTGGGTCTTGACTTCTGCTGTAGCCTGGAATCCCAGGACAGGACCTTGGCAGAGGTGCCAGTCAATGTGGAACAAATGGCCGAGTGAACGTTACAAGGCACCTTGCAATTTATAGAAGCCTTTTGCCTGTGTGCCATCGGGCTCTCGCAGTGGCCCCGTGACGCAGGCGGGGCCTCACTTTGTGTGCGCCTCTTAGACATCCTGCTGGGGCAGGTTGCCAAGACAGGAGAAGCCCTTTAGTTTTCCAGGGCCCTCACCTTCCGCCCCCACCCCTCCCATGTTAATCTTGGCCTCCCTTCCTTTCTCACCTGGGTGCCATTGCCAAGGAAACAGGACTCTAGCCCTGTCTTTCTTCTAGCCTGGCCCCTTGGCCTCTTGAGAAATTCAGTGAAGTCCAGTGTCTCCCTCACCCGTCTCTCTGGTCAAACACCCTCTTCTCTAAGCCACGTGGGGCTCAGAGCTGTGTTCTTAAAGCTGTTTCCTCCAGCACCTCCATCTCTGCTTTTCTCTTCTTGACTCTTGAGACGCTCTTTTTTTTCTTGTCCATCTGTCAGTCTTCCTCCTTGTCTGCTTCTGTTTCTCATGCATGACAGTCCTCAACACGTCCTATTTCCTTGGAGGAAACTCAAGGAGATAACTGCCCTTTTCTTTGTCAGAACATATTAATTGAGCCGATGGTGTGGGTCCGTTCCTGCGTGGGGAATCCCATGTAAACAATGAGACTTCTGAGATGTGGGGGTTGGGGGGTTGGCCAGCCGGGGACATGAAGGAGGAAGTGAGCAGTGGCCTTTACAAGAACAAGTGAATGGAGCAGAGTAGGAAGGGGCATCTTTCTGGGATGTGGTTCCCAGGGCCATCAATATCTGCCAGGACCTGCCCTCCTCAGGCGGTCTGTGTCCCTGGAAGGAGCAGGACTGGGTTGGAGGGCCGGGGCGGGGTGTGGTCAGAGTGCAGGAGCCGCCTGCTCCTTGGGTGCGGCTGCCATCTAGCGGTGATACTTAGGTAGTGTTGCTACCCGAAGTTCAGTGAGTCTCTGTCTCTGGCTGGGTAATTAACACTGGACTTGATGCTGGAAAAGTCAACATTACAACGAGTGCCGATAAATACAGTCTCTCAAAAATGGCCACCGCAGTTTCAAAATTTGAAAGAGTGATGACTTTCTAGCTTTTGAATCATTTGAAACATTCATGTATTCATTGCTTCATCAAATATTTATTGTGGGTCTGGATATTATTATATGCCAGGTGTGTTCTAGGCTAGGCCCCGGAAATTAAGAGGTGGCCTCGATGAACCGTACAATTTATGTGACAGAAGAAAGGCAACTACACCAACAATTCCAATCCAGAAGGAAAAGCTCCTCAGTACAGGCGTGTCGGGGCTACGCTTTGAGAATACGAAGGACCATCTTAAACAGACTGGGCTAGAGTGGCAGCTGGAAGGAAGGGAGAGGCTTCTTGAAGGAGGTGCTGGCTAAGATGAGCCTTGAAGGGCATTTAGGAGCCAGAAGGAGGAATGATGGAGGGGGTGGAGCTGGAGGTGGTGATGGGCAGGAGACAGAGGGAACAGACCATAGGAAGGCATGAAGTTTTCTGTTTCTCCTTTTGTGAATTCCCCGAGCATTCAGTTATGTATATAAGGAAATCAGTCTAAAATGTGTGGAATGTGTTCTAACCAAGTATTTTATTTATTATACTAGTATTATAGAATTTTTGGAACTGGAAAGGATCCCAAAGAAATCATATCTAGTGTGTTTAACAATTCTTCTCTTAATATGTAGACTGTGTCCCGGTTTCTCCTGCTAAAATGGCAGGCCCCTCCTGTGCATTCGGCAGTTAGAATGGGGTCTTGTGAAGTCTAGTGTGGACTTGTGCAATAGCCTGCCCAAGGGCCTCCCTACCTCGGCCAGTTCCCTCATCTGGGGGTAAGAGCCCCTTCCTCTGGACGGCATAGATCCTGCCAGGCTCCAGAAGCAGGTTCTCCAGAGACCCTTCCCCATCACAGGAACGGAGTCAGCGCTAGAGAGCTCTCAGTGTTGGGCGCTACTTTCCAGCCACCCCCCGGCTTGCCAGCAGAAACCAGCACCTCTTTCCCCTGGCTCCCGGTGTTCAGAATGTGGGTTGGCTCTGACCCAGGCTTTCCCCCTGTTCCCTGAAAATCTTGCTTCTTTCTGTAATGTGTCGTTTCATCACCACAGGAAGAATCAGGTGTATTTCTTCCTTCCCTTCCTTTCTTCCTTCTTCCTTTCCTCCCTCTCTACCTCCCTTTCTTCCTTCCTTCTTTTTTAATACAACAAACTGGTGACTACCTGCTATGTGCCAGGCT